ATGAAAGTATCGGCAACAAACGTTTATAACTATTTCTGGCATATTTTTTAACCTTTAATTTAATAAAACATCGAATACCAACAAACTCACTAGATTTTCATGGCCAACCCTACTATATAAAGATCGTGAACGGATAATAGTCAGATTTTGCAAAGCACAGGGGATAAGATGGACGGTCATACTTAAAAAAAAAAAAAAAACAAAAGACGATCCAATAAGAATTTTAACGGACTGGAAACCTCGTTTTAAGAATGTGAAACCTTTTCGGGGGCCCCAAATGTCTTTTTTTAAGAATGTAAAACCTTATCGGGGATCTCGACTGTCATTTTTTAAAGAAGGCGAAACCTCGTCGAGGGGACCAAGTATCTTTTTTTAAGAATATCAAATCTTCTCGGGGCTCCCAATGCTCTTTTTTTTAAGAAGGTGAAACCTTCTTTTTTTCTATTACACTGTGACTTCTATATTGTTTTTACTCTATAGAGGTTATCACGAAAAAGTAAAATTCCGCAAAATCAAATTTCATAGTTTCACGCCCCAGAGTGATTTGTCAAATGAATATCGCCTTTTAAAAGTAATGTGTTACTACTTCTGACAATCTCGCTTGGCATCAACTTTGATATTAAGCCAAATAAAACACGAACAACGTAAAATGGGAACGTTTTCACGAAAACCAAACAGCTGGCACAACTATATTTTGTCCACTTTTTCTTAATATAAGAAGTCTTCTTTTCCCAACAAGAAACTGAAAACATCTTTAACCATCTTGTTGTTCACAGAAAACTATATATATCAAGGAAAAAAAAAAGATTAAGCACGACCTACCCGTCCTGATCTCAGTTGTGATGAATTTTTCATTCGTTGTTAGACCGAGGGGCAAAATGCATATTTCCCTACAGAACAAAATATAGGTCCCGCCCACCCACCCCATCTCAATTCTGACGATTTTTTTATTCGTCCTGAGTCGAGAGGCGAAGCCTAATTGCAAAATGCTTATTTTTTATAAGACAATGCTATGTGAAACACGAATCGTGTTTTTTAAAGAAAACTACGTTTTGAGTATAAAACAAGCCAAAGATTAAGCCCCACCCACCCGCCCCGATCTCAATTGTGATGAGTGTTTCATTCGGTGTCAATACTTGTCAAGATAAGACTGATTTTGGCAGATGACTTACTCTTCTAAGAAACTAAACGCTGGGTGAGTGGGGCTAGTAGAGTGTTTTTCTGTAAAAGGTACACACCAATAAACGTGCGCAGAAACGAAATTTGGTTCGGCATTGCGGGGTGAAAGAATCCAGCACGTGGTGATTCATCTTCAGTGGCGTCTGGCGTTAGAGAACTCTTTGGAGAATTTTCTTCGTTTATTGTGAGTGTATAGTTTGATTTTTTGGGAAAAAATTGTTACGCCTATGATTTTATAACATCGGAAAGACATTTTCACAAAATAAATTTGTGTTTCCATTTTTTTGGCTGTGATTTCTAGTACCACATAACATTGGCCCCAGATTCAATATCCAAAAGATACGCCACTGTCTATAGTATCATCTAGTCCCGCCAACTTCCACGCGCAGATCTCTGACTCCGCCCATGTACCTTTTAGAGAAAAGCACTCTACTTGCTGAAAATAAAAAAACTTAAAAATCTAAAAATAACAAATTGAAAAATCGGATAAATGAGAAATCGAAAAGCAAATTTTATAAAATCGAATTCTAAATTCCTGTTTTAATTTTTTTTTTAGTTTTTAGATTTTTCAACTTTTGAATAGTACATTTGATAATTTGTTTGACAATTTTGCAGTTTTTAATTCCAATCTTTTGATTATTCAAGTTCTCAAAATTTTTCCTCTTCACGATTTGTCATTTTTCGATTTTTTAACAACAAACAAATTCATTGGAACTGAAATCTTGAAAAATCGAAAAATTGAAAATTAAAAACAAAATTTTCAGATGTTTTAAAGTTACGGTAAACATGGCAATCTCTGATCAAAATTGCTTTTTACTCCCTTCCAAAAACTCGGTGACAAAAAATCAAAAAATCGAAAATTTAAAAAAATAAACATCTATTTTCTCGATATTGTTTAAAATCGAAAGACAGATCAAAAAATTGAAAATTTAAAAAGCGAGAAATTGAAAAATTCGAAAATTGGAAAATCGAAAAACTGAAAAATCTAGTAGTACTCGCTACGATAAGACTGATTTTGGCAAATGATTTCTCTAGCACTTGCCAAATAACCTACCCTCTAAGAAAATAAAAGGCGGGTGAGCCAGGCTAGTATTTGCCAAAATAAGACTCATTTTGACAAACGACCTACTCTTCTAAGAAAAGGTACTAACCCTGCCCACCCACCTTTTATTTTCTTAGAAGGTAGGTCATCTGCCAAAATTAATCTTATCTTGGCAAGTATGAAACGGATTTTTGTAAATGACATATCTTCTAAGCAAATAAGGGTGGGTGGGCGGGGCTAGTACTTGTCAAGATGAGATTGATTTTGGCAGATGACCAACTCTTCTAAGAAAATAAAGGGTGGGTGGGTGGGGGGGGGGGCTAGTACTTGTCAAGATGAGACTGATTTTGGCAAATGACATATCCTCTAAGAAAATAAGGGAGGGTGGGCGGAGGGCTAGTACTTGCTAAAAATAAAAAAACTTAAAATCTAAAAATGATAAATTGAAAAATCGGATAAATGAGACATCGGAAAATCAAAATCAAAAATTAAAAAAAAAACAAATTTATAAAATCGAATTCGAAATTACAGTTTTAATTTTTTTTTTTATTTTTCGATTTTTCAACTTTTGAATATTTCATTTGAGAATTTGTTTGACAATTTTGCAGTTTTTAATTTCAATCTTTTGATTTTTCAAGTTCTCAAGTTAAAATTTTTCCTTTTCACGATTTGTCATTTTTCGATTTTTTAACAACAAACAAATTCATTGGAACTGAAATCTTGAAAAATCGAAAAATTGAAAATTAGAAACAAAATTTTCAGATGTTTTAAATTTATGGTAAACATGGCAATCGCTGATCAAAATTGCTTTTTACTTCCTTCCAAAAACTCGGTGACAAAAAATCAAAAATCGAAAATTTAAAAAAATAAACATCTATTTTCTCGATATTTTTTAAAATCGAAAGACATCAAAAAATTGAAAATTTAAAAAGCGAGAAATTGAAAAATTCGAAAGTTGGAAAAACGAAAAACTGAAAAATCTAGTAGTACTCGCTACGATAAGACTGATGATTTCTCTATGAAAACAAAGGGTGGGTGGGTGGGGCTAGCACTTGCCAAATAACCTACCCTCTAAGAAAATAAAAGGCGGGTGAGCCAGGCTAGTATTTACCAAAATAAAACTCATTTTGACAAACGACCTGCTCTTCTAAGAAAAGGTACTTGACCCGCCCACCCACCCTTTATTTTCTTAGAAGGTAGGTCATCTGCCAAAATCAATCTTATCTTTACAAGTATGAAACGGACTTTTGTAAATGACATATCTTCTAAGCAAATAAGGGTGGGTGGGCGGGGCTAGTACTTGTCAAGATGAGACTGATTTTGGCAGATGACCAACTCTTCTAAGAAAATAAAGGGTGGGTGGGGGGGGGCTAGTACTTGTCAAGATGAGACTGATTTTGGCATATGACCAACTCTTCTAAGAAAATAAGGGAGGGTGGGCGGGGGGCTAGTACTTGCTAAAAATAAAAAAACTTAAAATCTAAAAATGATAAATTGAAAAATCGGATAAATGAGACATCGGAAAATCAAAATCAAAAATTAAAAAAAAAACATCTTATAAAATCGAATTCGAAATTCCAGTTTTCATTTTTTTTTTTAGTTTTTAGATTTTTCAACTTTTGAATTCAATCAATTTGTTTGACAATTTTGCGGTTTTTAATTCCAACCTTTTGATTTTTCAAGTTCTCAAGTTAAAATTTCTCCTTTTCACGATTTGTCATTTTTTGATTTTTTAACAACAAACAAATTCATTGGAACTGAAATTTTGAAAAATCGAAAAATTGAAAATTAGAAACAAAATTTTCAGATGTTTTAAAGTTACGGTAAATATGGAAATCTCAGATCAAAATTGTTTTTTACTCCCTTCCAAAAACTCGGTGGAGTTTAATTGCAAAATCTAAATTACTCCACAAAATTTACCCTTTTAAAACATATTTCACGTGGTAATTTCTTGTGGAGAAATGAGAATTTTGCAACTAGCCTTCGCCCCTCGGTACACAATGAATAAAAAAATCATCACAATTGAGAGGGGGTGGGTGGGCGGGGTTTATATTTTGTCCCCTTTTTCTTAATATACGAAGTCTACTTTTCCCAACAGGAAATTGAAAACATCCTTAGCCGTCCTGTTGTTCACAGAAAACTATATATCAATAAAGAAAAAAGATTAAGCACGATATACTCGTTCCGATCTTAATTGTGATGAATTTTTCATTCGTTGTTAGAACGAGGGGAGGAGTGTAATTGCAAAATATTTACATATTTCCCTACAGAAATGTACCATTTTGAACGTGTTTTAAATTTCTTGTTGTGAACGTATGATAAAAAAATCAAAATATAGGGCCGCCCACCCACCTCATCTCAATACTGACGATTTTTTTATTCGTCGTGAGTCGAGAGGCGAAGCTTAATTGCAAAGTGCTTATTTTTTTTATAAGAAAATGCTATGTGAAACACGAATCATGTTCTTTAAAGAATACTATACAAATAAATTTTGCAACAAAATTTAAAAAATGTTTGAAACATAAACCACAAGAACTTGAGGCTAGTAAATCTTGTATTATTTCTGGCAATTATTCCACCAATTCAGTATATGTCCATCATCTTTCTTGATAAATAACCCATCCCGACAGGCAATCTTTTCCCCCGCCCCTTGTCCTTGAACCGCCAAAACCCATCGATCCCTTGCACCTTTCAGCTTCACCGGCTCGTGAAAGCAACCGTTTTCCATCTGACCTCCTTCAGTCGCCATCAGCTCTCCCAACCTTACTTAAAGTTAATATTCCCCGTCGAAAACAAAAGGTTAGGCTAGCAATAAAGCCACCCCTTCAGCGTGCGCACAAACCACCCTCTGATTGTAGATTCGAATGCGGTATATACAAGCACAGTGTTGTGCGTGCAAGCAATTCGATCGAGGCAACGTGCCCTTTCGCACTTTTAACAACCCCGACGCAGTCGACGTGTAAAGGGTGCATTACGCGAACAGTTACCCTCAACAACGAGCTTTTGCATTATTGATCGCGGTCCTCCTCTTTCAATCGATATTGTGGCTGCCGGTAGCGTGACACTCGAGCTTTTGCAATAACTACAAGTTTACTAGTTCGCCAAAAGCTACCACAGGTGAGTTTTATGTGACGGCTGAGTGCTCGTGGGCTCCTTGGGGTTCGGTGGCTGTTGTGCTAATCAGTGCCTTGTTGTGGTAGGAACGCGTGAGGGGTTATTATTATTCAAGAGATGGCAGCAGAGCTTTTGTGTTTACTTCGGGAGATTTGGGAGCACTTTTGAGCTTTTGGGTATTACGTGGTAGTGGCGTTTTGTGGCTTGTAATTGGGGCAATTATAAGTGTCTAAAGGCGTGACTACGTTGGAGCGCTGCGAGGGAAGCAATAAATCTTTGGGGATTTTTTTTATTGGGACGGTGAAGTTTCGTCAAAGAGAAAGTGGATATTAAAGAATTCACTGGAATTGGTTTGGTGAAGTGTTGACGAAATTGAAAGTCCTGGAAAGGAACTCCAAGATTTATTAGTTTCTGAATTCGTTTAATACCATATAGGCAATCCGACCCGAATGGTAGAAATTCTTTCTGATATTATTTTTTTAGCAGAAGGGTGTCTTAAATTTTATTTGACAGGGAATAACTCTCTTGAGTAGATATCGATATAACACGAAAAAAATATTTATTGAATATTAAGCACCCGACAGTAGGGGTGAAAACCTTGAAGTAATTATCGTCTCGCCGTTGAACCCCTCAGATTTTTAATGTCAGGTGGAATCGTATACATTGTGAAATATGCGTACGAAAAAAAAATTCTAACAGTGTATTTATGACGTCATCAATAGAGTTATGACGTTTGATTAGCGAATTACCATGTTCACAAATACCTTAAAACCAATGTAAAATTTCAAAGCAGTGGGCTTTCTAGTTTCTAAATTAAATTGTATTTTTTTGTATCGTGTTGATTTTTTTTTTCAAAAAGCTACATACATACGGTTAAATAAGAATAGTCGTGGAATAATAAATTACAGATGCAAGTATTTAATATATTTTAAGTATAAAATTACTTAGCAAAATTTTCAAATGACGTCATAAAATTTTCCATGAAAGCTAAAATTTCATAATCTGTCCAGTAGTTTCGGAGATTGTGTGTCTACTAAAATCGCTAACAGACTACTGACAGACGTAAAATATCTATTTTAATATAAAATACATTTTTAATTCCTGAGAGTTTCCTGTCACCTAGAATACGAAAAATAGGTCTCTCGTTTCCGTCTGTCTGTCCGCGGTCTGTTCGAATTTTTATTAGACAAACTCCGAAACTACTGGACCGATTGTTATCAAGTTCTATACGTGTTAGTAATATCGTGCAGATAGTAAAACGCGAACCAAAATTTGGCTAAACATCCCCAAAAAGAATATGATGACCTAATCTCCAAAATTTATTCATATGGTTTATGAATCCGTGTTGTTTTGACTCTGGATATTCAGATTTTTGAAAAAAAAATCAAAATTGTGTAACAGCATTCTCCAATTTAACTTTGAAACTGCAATTTTTAATTTTTTGATTTTTTAATTTTTTGTTTCCTCAATTTTTAAAGTTCTTGATTTTTATTTTTTATTTTCTCGATTATTTAATTTTCATGTTCTCGATTTTCTATCACAATTTTTCGTTTTTCATTTCCACTATTAGATTTTATAATTTTTCGTTTATTCAAATTTTCAAAACTTCATTATTTGGATTTTATAGTAAAGTCACTTGACTTGTACCTAGTAAAACTTTACAGCCGCATTAGATATAAAGGACAATTGTCCATTAATGGAGCTGTACAGTTTTACAAGGTAGATGTCAAGTGACTTTACTATACGATATTTCTTTTTTTCACTTTACACTTTTCCGATTTTTTAGTTTCTCAATTTTTAATCTTTTGATTTTTCAGTTTGCAATTTATTAAATTCTTTTCAAGTTTTCAGTTCATAATTTTTCGTTTTTTTATTTTTGATTTTTCAATTTTATAATTTCTAAAAAATTAGAAAAAATTGAGAAATCGCAAAACTGAGAAAACGAAAAATTGCAAAATTGAAAAGGTGGAAAATCAAAACATTACAAATCGAAGAACTGAAGAAACAAAAAATTTAAATACTGAAAAACTAATAAAAATCGAAAAAAAATTAGTCGAAAAATTGGAAAGAAGAAAAAATGAATCGAACGAAAAATTGGTAAATATAAAAAGTGTTAAAACGAAAAATTATAGAATCGTCAAAATTGTAACACTGAAAGATCTAAAAATTGAAAAATTATATATAGAGAAGTTCAGAAATTGAAAACCGAAAAATTGAAAATGTGATTTTTTTTTAAATATAATTATTAATATACTAGATCCAAGTCAAGTGAGTTTACTATACAATATTTCGTTTCCTCGAGTTTGCACTTTTTCGATTTTTTAATTTCTCAATTTTTAATCTTTAGATTTTTCAATTTTTAATTTCAATTTTTCAAATTCTTGATTTCCAGTTTTTAGATGTTTCAAAGTTTTCGCTTTATACTTTTTCGTTTTTTATTTTTGATTTTTCATTTTCGCAATTAACTAAACTAAAAAATTAATTAAAACTAAAAAATCGAAAAAAATTGAAAAATCGAAGAGCTGAAAAAACGAAAAATTGCAAAAACGAAAAGGTGGAAAATCAAAAAATTACAAATCGAAGAACTGAAAAAATGAAAAATTGACACATTGAAAAACTAATAAAAGTCAGAAACTTAAAAATCGAAAAAAAACGAATGAATCCAAAAAATGGAAAGAAGAAAATACGAATTGAAGGGAAAAATTGGAAAACCCAAAAATTTTTGAATTGAAAAATTATAGAATCGTCAAAATTGTAACATTGGAAGCTCGAAAAATTGAAAAATTAAACATAGAGAAGTTCAGAAATTGAAAACCGAAAAAATGAAATTGTCAAATTCTTTTAAAAAGATAGTTATTAATTTATTTCTAAAATGAACACTAAAAAAAATGCAGATCAAAAATCCAGGAAACAAAGTGAAAAATCGAGAAACTGAAAATTAAAAAATCTGAAAGTGGAAAAACCGAAAAATTGGAAAATCCAAAAAATGAAAAATTTCACATTGAAAAAAGTGTCCTCTATTGTCCGTTGATGGGGTCGCAAAGTTTTACTAGGTATAAGTCAAGTGAGTTTACTATGCAAAATTTCGTTTTTTGGATTTTACACTTTTTCGATTTTTTAGTTTTTCAACTTTTAACATTTCGATTTTTCAGTTTTTAGTTTCTTTAATTTTTCAAGTTCTTGATTTCGAGTTTTTAGAATTTTGAAAGTTTTCACCGTATGCTTTTTAATTTTTTAATTTTTGATTTTTCTATTTTCCAATTTTGCAATTAACTAAATTAAAAAATTAATTAAAACTAAAAAATCGGAAAAAATTGAAAAATAAAAAACTGACAAAAAACTGAAAAAACAAAAAATTGCAAAATCGAAAAGGTGAAAAATAAAAAAAATTACAAATCGAAGAACTGAAGAAACGAAAAATTGACACATTGAAAAACTAATGAAAATCAGGAGACTTAAAAATCGAAAAAAATGAATGAACCGAAAAAATGGAAGGAAGAAAATACGAATCGAATCGAAAAATTGGAAAATTATAGAATCGTCAAAATTATAATATTGAGAGACTGAAAATTTGAAAAATTAAATATAAGTTCAGAAACTGAAAACTGAAAACTGAAAAATTGAAATTGTGAAAAATTTTTAAAAACATTATTAATATACATATATTTAAAATGAACACTAGAAAAAATGCAAATCAAAAATCGAAGAAACAAACAACTGAAAAATTGAGTAACTGAAAAATCTAAAACTGGGAAAAAGGAAAAATAAAAAAATCTAAAAGTTGAAAAACTGAAACATTGAGAAATCCAAAAAAAGGAAAATTTCACATTGAAAAAGTGTCTTTCATTGTCGGGTCGTAAGTTTTACTAGGTACAAGTCAAGTGAGTTTACTATACAACATTTCGTTTTTTGGATTTTGCACTTTTTCGATTTTTTAGTTTCTTTAATTTTTTCAAGTTCTTGATTTCGAGTTTTTAGATTTTTCAAAGTTTTCACCGTACCTATACTTTTTAATTTTTTTATTTTTGATTTTGCTACTTTCCAATTTTGCAATTAACTAAATTAAAAAATTAATGAAAACAAAAAAACCGGAAATAACTGAAAAATCGAAAAGGTCGAAAATCAAAAATTTACAAATCGATGAACTAAAGAAACAAAAATTGGAAAACTAATAAAAATCGAGAAACTTAAAAATTGAAAAATATTAATGAATCGAGGAATTGGATAGAACACAAACGAATCGAATCGAAAAATTGGAAAACTCAAAAATTGTTAAATCGAAAAATTATAGAATCGTCAAAATCTAACATTGAAGATTTAAAAATTAAATATTGAGAGATTCAGAAATTGACAATCGAAAAATTGAAAAAGTAAAAAATTTTAAAAATTATAATTATTAATATTATATATCTAAAATGTACACTAGAAAAATTGTAAATTAGAAATTGAAGAAGCCAACAACTGAAAAATCGACTAACTGAAAAATCTAAAGTTGAAAAAACGAATCTAAAATTTGAAAAACCGAAAAATTCAAAAATAAAATAAAAACAGAAACGAAAAACTGTAAATCAAAAAATTGAAAACTCGTGAAATTGCTAATCGAAAAATTGCAAAATTTAAAAACTCAAACATCCAAAAGGTGGAAAATCGAAAAATTAAAGAAACGAAAAACTGAAAAAAATTGAAATTGAAAAACAAAAAGTTACAAAATCGGAACATTGTAAAGTCGAAAAATTCTAAAAATAAAGAAAATAAAAAGCCGAAACGGACATTGAAAATCGAAAAATTGCAAAATCTAAAAAGTGAAAAATTCAAAAATGGGAAAAGTGAAAAACTGAAAAAATTTAACTAAAGAAATAAAAAAAAAATGAAGAATTGAAAAATTCAAGTCAAAAAATCTGGTTTCAACTTTATAGGGGTTATTAGAAAACAAAAGCCACAATTTTCTTTTATAATTTTTCAAAGAAGCGTATGATTGTTTTGTATGTGCACAAGTGAATATAGTAATAAATGCAACTTTATTAGAAAAATATTCCAAAGAATGATTTAAAATTGAAATTGTGGAACGTCAGCAGATGGATGTTTCCGACAACCTATTAATGTCCTAAACGAAAATAAATACCCAGATTCAAGATAAGGAAACCCCGAAAATAAACAAAACAGATAATCGCGTGAGCGACAATTTATTACCAAACAAATAATAAAACGTAACGTTAACGTCACAACTGTGACAAAGGAAAATTGAATTCTTAACAACGATACGAACTTTTCCGTCTCCCAATATTCTTTTTAATTTTAAATAAATGAGATTCTAAACTTTTGGATGTCACATTGTCTTTACATAACCACAGAAATATAAAATATCCTGCAGGCACTAAATGACGACTTACTTTTTTTTTTAATTACATTGACTCATCTTATATTTAAATTTAAAATAAGCGTAAAGTTGGAGCTTTATACTGGATATACGAAATATTGCTTGCTGATTACGCAACACACAATACACACAACAATAACCGAAATTACAAATTAATGAAAGAAAAAATAACCACAGCTTTGTTTTCCGTGAACTCTCACCAGTTTTCGACCTCGCTTGACCGAACATAATTACTTTTTCAATTAAGGTTACTTTGAGCCGAGTTTATTTTAATGGAGTGTCTTTATTCAATTACAACGCAAACTCAATTACCGTTGCTTGTTATGTTTTAACAAAAGTTTTAGAAGCGGGAAAATTGGATTTTTTTAATTAAATGTTCTCCATAATTTAATTACGCGGATGATAGAGTTAGAAGATTTACGACTGACCTGCTTCGAATTTTTTTTCGGTTGGTTAAGTTGCCGAAAGGAAAAGTCTTCGACTGTATAAACTTTATAAATAAAGTAGTACAACATTGGCATTCAGTGTACCTACTCAATAAAGTCCGAATGGCACAGCGAGCATCCCGGCAATTTTAACCAAGTCGGGTTTTCCTTGTTTACATAATGTATAATTTTGGTTGTCGTTTTGGCAATTGCTGCGTTCCTTCCCCTACTGTTTTCGTCATTTTCGAAATTGTGGAATTATTAAGTGTAATTAAATTACTTAACTTTTTGAGTACAATTTTTCAAAATAAAAACCAAACAAACTGTAGTATAATTGGTGGCGTGAAATACACAGTACTCTGCTTAAGGGTGCTCTCGCTAATACCATAATACGGGTGGGTAGATGCTTGCAAATACGAATAATAGCCCTATAGAATTTAACACAATGAATGTCATAAACACCTTCCTTCTAACTTCCTGATTACATCTGCTCTTACTTTGTCTAAGTGATATATTAGATTAGGAACTATGTCAGCACTAACACTACGTCTATTCTGGAGTGATTAATGATTTAGTAAGTTTTCAAGGTTTAACGAGCAATTCAAAGGTTTCAAATATTTCAAGCTTCTTTTTTCTAAGAAGCGAAGATTTAATTTCGCTGACTTTAACTCTGAGTTTGGAGTTATCGATTCGCCATAAATCTCTGTTCATTTTAGACGTTTATGGCCAAAATTCTTCTGCCCTCTTGAGCCTGTAATTACTCGGAGTTAAGATTTATGGATTTTTTTATCTGAAAATCGTTTTTTCAATTACAGAGCTTGCGGTAAAATAAATTACTCTTTTATTGGCTGCTCCATTTATTTCTTTTTAAATGTAAGGGGAAGTTTGATAGGTTTTCATTGAGATTAAATTTACCCGGCGCCTCCACCATTTTTATCGCATTATACATCAAATGAACAGAAAAATCTCCCTTGAAGATTTTGTAACAGAACTACGTTTGTCTACCATATAGAAAATTACTCGGGTTGTGTACAGAGCGTTCCAACGATCTGAACTATCCAATTTAGGCGTTTATGACACCTCATAAATGCCTTCTTCCTAGCTTACGTTCCGGAAGTAAAAATGTTTCAGTAGTCTTTAATTTTCACGAAAAAAAAACCCTTGATTTACGTACCTCTCCCAAGATTTTACTTTTTTACCTTCCAGACGGATGTATCCACTCCACACGAATCAATAGCAAACCAAATCAATAAAATGTAAATTTTGTGATTTCGGAGCACTCAACCAGGGTTGGATGCTCCCAAATTGATTCCGAATCCACATTCAGACATTGTGCATTTCAGATGGTTGATGCCAGTGGTAATGACGAGACGATAAACGGGCGCACGACAGGGGGTAAGGATGTGTGAGGAATCCGCATGCTTGGTACCTCCGTTGGAACAGAACCAGAATGGACCAAACGAATCCCGACGTATGTGTCCCATTTTTGCATGCATAATTCATTATTCGCCCTAAATATAGCATGGATTTGTTTTGAAGCTGTCCCAGAACCTGACCTTACGATGATTAACCCCAAATCGTGTCACTAGCACCGTCCCTTGTTACTAATTTAGGGCTATTCGTTTACTTTTTTATTTATGGGGGTTTGGTTAGAGGGAAAAACGTAGTAAAAAACGGATAAAGTGTACTGGGGTATTTGCTCGAACCTTTGAGTAATTGTGCGAAAGAGTCAGTTGTTGGTTTAAGTGGAACGATGACAGTTTTCTCTACTATGCACGAGCTTATTTTACTTTTATTAGTAATGTAATAATGTAATATTAAAATATATATTTTATTATCTAAAAATATTCGTATAGGCCATCCACAAATTTAGTGGTTTTACGACTTTGACTTTTCCGAACCCCTCGTTTGCGAACTGCATTCTTCGTCGACAAAGGCGGCTCAGAGTCAAAGTCGTAAAAGCACTAAATTTGGAGTTAGACTATAACTGTGACCTATGTACTTTAAAATCAACCAACATAAAATATTTGCAAAGTTAACTGCAGAAGACTTTGCTTGTATTTTACTACAATTTACCTTGTTGACGTATTATTAATATTATTAATGTGATAGTATTAAATTTACAAAGTTCTGTTCAAAATTGGTTACACCCATTGTCGGCGAAAACCTTTGGAACAATAGAAGTAAATTTGTCTTATTTTCGAGAAACTTTTCCTATTATGTCTTCTACGACAATTATTCATTTGAATGGAAACTTGGCAAATGTTACTAGAATAAGATGGGCATTAATATTCATTTAAAACATAGTTATATAACTGTCATTTAAATATTCATGGTATGATTACCTCCTTTGTACTTTCTGTCAAGGAGAAATTATTTTTATTTCCATTCCAAAAATATTTTGTTTTCGATACGCTTGTAATTACTAATAAAGGGTAGACTTATTGTTTTCCAAAATATAGGTTTTTTTAGTTACGAATGAACTAAACAATGTTGATTTAAAGTAAAAATTTATAGATTGACGACAGCGTTACTTACATAATAGTCGTTGTAGTGACATTTAAGGTTCGCGAGTATTGATCTGATGTATATATGCAAGGTGATTCACCTAATACTTAACCCCCGTTCTACCCACTCCCACTTTTACCCTTAGAACTTTTCTAATTATACGCACGATAAGCTGTAGAAATTGGGGACACTTTTTGCTGAATAAAAAACATTATTATCACTGTAGTATTATTAAGCATTCTGCACATCAAGAAAAGTGCTCTAAAGGCAGCTTTCTATGAAAGTTTTTTGAAAAAATTATTGCTTTACTGAGTGATTTTTCAAATTTCTGCTCTAGTTGCCCATAACGCTAACGTCAGCAGTTTTAGTTTCATTGCTGGAGCAAAAATTTAAAAAATCACCCGGCATTATACACACTGATTGAATTAATTTGTATATAAAAAAGTCATTACAAGGAGCAATGCACAAAATTTAAAGTTGTTTTGAATGTTTCTCTGATTTTACTATAATTTTCTGGAAAACACAAATTTTTTTAGAAAATTTTCAGTAATTTCAAGTTTTCTGAATTCTACTTTTTTTTAAATTCATAATGAATAATAATTACAGTGACTAAGACCGCTCTTATCTGAACAAAATTATATGATGATTATACAATACTATTAAATTTGTCTGAATCTCTTCTTAAAGGTTCAATAAATTTCAAGACGAATTTATTGTATACTCTTCGGTGTATTATTTATGAATAATAGCCCTGATGTATCAGAGTTGATGAAGTCAGAATTTTGAATCAGTATTAAAATTTCCTGAACCCTGTTGAAACAATTTTAGTGTAAAATATTGTGTTGATTTTATTCTATTCTTTCATTCCTTATTTTGGAAATATTTAAATAATTATGTAGTGGGGATTCTAAGCCAGTTTGACCTCATTTGACCTGTCCTAGAATCCCCATTACTTTCTGTCAAGCAATTTAGCCTGTCTTAGGACCCCTATCACTTTTTCCCGACCAATTTGGGCTTTTTTAGGACTCTATAATTTTTTGTCGACCATTTTGAATTGTCTTAGAACCGCAATCATTTTTTATCGACGCGTCTAAGGAACTCCTTCATTTTTTGTCGATCAATTTGACCTGTCTTAGGACCCCAATCATTTTTAGTCAACCATTTGATTGTCTTAGGACCTCCATCACTTTTTCCCGACTAATTTAGCCAGTGTTAAAATCTCTATCATTTTTTTCTGACGAGTTTGATCTGTCTTAGAACTGGCATTACTTTCTGTCGACCATTTTGACCTGTCTTGGGATATCTATAATTTTTTGTAGATTATTTAACTTGTCTTAGGACCCCAGTGATTTTTTGTCGACAAAATTTGACCTGTCTTAGGACCCCATCACTGTGTGTCGACGAATTTGACTTGTCATTTTTTGTCGATCAATGTAACCTGTCTTAGAACCCCATATTTTTTTGTCTCCCAATTTGACCTGTCTTGGGACCCAAATCAGTTTTTTGTCGACTAGCTTGACCTGTCTTAGGAACCAAACCATTTTTCGTCGACCATTTGACCTATCTTAGCATCCCAATCATTTTTTGTCAACCATTTGAGTTGTCTTAGGAGCTCTATCACTTTTTCCCAACTAATTTGGCCAGTGTTAAAATCTCTATTATTTTTTTCGGAACAGTTTGACCTGTCTTAGAACAGGCATTACTTTCTGTCAACCGTTTTGACCTGTGTTAGGACCCCAATCATTTTTCGTTGACCATTTGATCTCTCTTAGGATCCCCGTCATTTTTAGTCGACAAAAATTTGACCTGTCTTAGAACCCCAAATTTTTTGTCCCCCAATTTGACCTCTCTTGGGACCCAAATCAGTTTTTTGTCAACCATATGACCTGTCTTAGGATCCCTATCGTTTTTTCTCGACCAATTTGACCTGTCTGAGCATCCCAATCATTTTTCGTCTACCAGTTTGATGACCTGCCTTAGGACCCTAATCTTTTTGTCGACCAATTTGACCTGTCTTAGGACCCCAATCATTTTTTGTCAACCATTTGACTTGTCTTAGGACCTCCATAATTTTTTCCCGACTAATTTGATCAGTGTTAAAATCTCTTCTGTCGATTATTTTAACCTTTCTTAGGACCTCCATCACGTTTTAGATTATTTGACCTGTCTTAGAATCCGCGTCATTTTTCGTCGACAAAAATTTGACCTGTCTTAGGACCCCCAACACTGTGTGTCGACGAATTTGACTTGTCATTTTTTGTCGATCAATGTGACTTGTCTTAGAACCCGATATTTTTTATCCCCCAATTTGACCTGTCTTGGGACCCAAATAAGTTTTTTGTCGACCATTTGACTTGTTCTAGGATCCCTATCCCTTTTTCCCGACCAATTTGACCTGTCTGAGGATCTCTGTCATTTTTCGTCGACCAATTTGACCTGTCTTAGGACCTTTGACTTGTCTAAAGAATCCCTTCATTTTTGTCGATCAGTTTGACCTGTCTTAGGATCCCAATAATTTTTTATCGACCAGTTGACTTGCCTTAGGACCTCCATGACTTTTTCCCGACCAATTTGGCCAGTCTTAAGATCTCTATCATTTTTTGTCGACTTGTGCTAGAAACGGCATAATTTTTTGTCGACCATTTTTACCTGTCTTAAGATCTCCATCACTTTTTGTTGACTATTTGACCTGTCATAGAATAGACATTATTTTTCTTTGTTTAAAGCCTGTCTTAGAAACGACATCATTTTCTGTCGACTATTTGATCTTTTATACTCAGCCATGGATGTTTTGTCTTTGATCGTTTCATTTTCAACTCAAACTTTCATGATTAGTAATCTGACAAGACAAAAATTCTATTAACGACAATCGTCAAAAATTCATGGTTATCTTTGATCATATTTTTATTGCAACATCGGTATTACCATAATAATGAATGATAAACGTCTTAAAATCAAATATTTCCTACAAAATCTGTGAAAAATAAATTAATATGACCATTAAAGAAATTAATTAAATTATCTAAATATTTGCCATATTTTTCGAATTATTAAAAACGGCCATTATAATACCCATGTAAGAAAGCTTTACTTCCAGTCTGTGGCAAAATATTGAAAAAAGTATGTTTTTCTACCGCGCACGTTTTTTGGTTTTCTAATAGAGCTAATAAACCACACAAATGACGTCACAGCAGTTCGTTAATAGCGGAAAGGCGTTCTTTAATAGATTTGGTGTAATTTAGATCGGTAAGATTGGTAGCCATGACGAGAAATGTCAGGTGAATGTCAATGGCAAATGTCAAATTAAAATTTCCCGTATTTCCGGAAGCGTAAGGACTTCACTAACTTCTTCACAAGACATTTTAACCAATTTTAACTTGCAAAAACTCGAATTGATTCGAATTGCAGTTGTTGTTGTGAAAATTTGAACCCCAAATATTTCGTGGTTCGTGTCAGACCAAGCCATCACCAACCACGACAAAATTCCGCAGATTTAAAAAAAGGCAAATTTCAATTAAATTTTGCGGAAAAACGTGCGCGGTAGAAAAAATAGTATAAATTCCTCGTTCATAAGGCCATATTTCTCTATGAAACTCGTTCTTTAATATACTATTAGTTATTATCAAGTATCATCCAATCAATATGGAATTAGAAATAAACATCTACAGTGACACAGATCTCTTTGATAGGAATGTGTTTGGAAAGAGAGAAATTTGACAACTCCTTATTTTGAGATTCAACAAAGGCCTTGACTGTGTTTCTCACGATATTGCTGAAGTTATGTAAATTTAGATCCTACTATATCTAATATCTTCATTTATAAACAGTTGTTACTAATCGTTACCAGATGGTAAAAACTGACTCCGTAATTTCGTGAAACCGTCTTACAACGACAAAAATTACGAAAGGATCAGTACTTGGATCTTTATTATTTTTACTTTATGTGATTGACTTCTCGGTATATTAATTTGTGAAAGCAACTGATATACAGATGAGGTGTCACAATGAAGGAATTGCACATTTTTGTTAGTTTGAGAGGGTGCGCTGTAAAAGTGTTAGAAATCTAAGTTTTCTGGTTTATCCAAATTATAATTATTTAGGTGGCAAATAGTTTCTGGTACGATAACAAGAAGGAATTTAAAAAAAATTTTGGTTGTTATTGACCAGTGAAAATATCAAAAATAAAAAAATTTAATAACGGTAACTATGCCAAATTTGCTGGACGTCTTTGTATGCTTTGCAACCCTTCACTCCCAACCACTCCCTAAAAATAGCACGAGCTTGTTTTCAAACTGTCCAAAAACTTAACCTTTAACAAACCCTTAATAATTCACCGCAAACCTTGTCATTTGTCGCGTCCTACATCACTAATTTATCTCCACTCATTTGTTTACGTTCATATTTAATTCAACACAATTTTTTGCCCGCACGACCCTTATTACATTATTCATGTTCCAGTATCAGCAGGAAGCGGAGCACCATCACACAACGGCGAAGCCCTCGTGGGCTTCCACGAAGACGCCCTATCGCAAGCAGCCGTAGGAAAGGCCCAACTCCTGCTAGCCCTAGTTCTGGGTCTAGGGTTAGCAGCCGATTGCTCTGAACTAACCATTTTAGGCTACATCCTTCCAGCTGCCGAACTTCAATTATGCATCGACGAACACAAGAAAGGGTGGTTAGTTTCTATTACTTTGTTGGCACTGGCCGGAGGCTCGTTGGCCTGGGGGATTCTCGGAGACCATTTAGGCAGACGAAGGGCTTTGATCAGCGCTCTGTCCGTCGCTGCCCTTTTTTCGGCAGTGGCGACCGTCATGCCTACTTATGGGACATTCATGACAGCTAGGTAAATTAGCATAACTGTGTTCGCAATACTATGACGTAGCATTATTGATTTATGACGTAAAAGCTTGTAACTTGCGGAATTTACAACTAACCATTTGTTCTAGATTTTGTTCCGGATTAGGAGTAGCAGGAGCGTTCCCTTTAACCTTTAGCTACCTGTCAGAAACCTGCTCCCGCGCTACACGTACCCGTTATACAGGTGTCTTGCATTCTTTCTGGCCACTGGGTGGTATTTTCACATCATTAATAGCCCATTTGACCATGCCTACTCAAGGCGCTGAGATCGTAGAAGACAATCGCGAACACTGGAGTTCCTGGCATCGGTTTCTTATTCTAAGCATATTGCCTACGATAGCGTGCATCATTGGGTTGATCTGGGCTTCAGAGTCTCCTCGGTACCTTCTAGAAGCTTCTAGAGAAGTAGAAGCTCTGGCTGTGTATCAGCGATTACACAGACTGAACAAAGCGAGAACCCAGTATGGGTTAACGGAACTGGAGCTACCTGGGAGAAGTGCGTACAGAGAAAGACCTATGAGCCCTTCTAGAAATGTATTTGGGCATAGTCTGGAATCGGTGAGTTTTTTTTTTTTTTGAAACGAAATAATCATCTATTTGTTTGTTTCTAGCTACGAGAGACGTTCCAACGCATCTCTTCTCCTACTCACTTTCGCACAACATTGCTTCTGGCAGCGTTGCACCTGATCGTAGGTTTTACCTACATGGGCATATCAAATTTCTCAACGTCCACGATCAAAGAGATCAAAGATGAAGAATATAATTTAAATCGGAAATATATCTTTAATAAAAATTTTACAGGAGTAGTATTTAATAACACGATGGAGAACCTCGAATATGTGAACACTACATTTAAAAACGTAACTTTCAAACATATCAATTTGAATCATGTTAGATTCCAAAACTGCACTGTCGATGAGGCAGAATTCATCAATGTGAAGTCGTCTATTACATCTTTCAAGAACTCGACCATTAAAGACTCCAGATTTGTGGATACAGACCTCACACATCACCATTTCATCAACTGTACACTGAGTAACAACTCGTTTCTGTCTTTGATATCTGACTGTATTGTTGATTTTGACTATAATATCTACTTGGATGATCTGTATGAAGACACGCTTGCATGGGCTGGTTCCATGTTTCCTGCACTTCTCTTCATGGGTTTCATCCTCGAAACTGCGGCTAGACCACCTCTGATTTTTACAACCATCGGCATTGCCAGCATGACCAGTCTTGGGATGTTTTTCTGGACGAGTACTTTCGTTGTTACCATGATCGAACTAACGGTGAAGATCATGTTGATGTGTGCTGTCAACGCCATCACAATGGTCGTAGTTGAAGGATACCCATGCCACTTAAGGTACATAGTCGCTAGTACGAAATACATTCTAGTTTGTTTTTCTAGATGTACTGCCCATGGTATGATGCGCAGTTTGTTTCACTTAGCGTCCCTCTGTGCCATTCCCATCTATGGTATATTTGGCCACAAGATGTTGATGTTTCCCGCTGTGATGACCTTCTCCTTGACGTTTGGCGCCGCATTGTTGTCTTTGAATCTACAAGACAACAGCAAAGTTCTGTTGTAATGTTTTTTCTGTCCGATATTTTTCGTAGATTGTGTCTGTGATATTATTTTTTAAAACGATAACCATTTCGTCATTAAACTGTATCGTGTTTAGATGAGATAGAAAAGTCAATTACGAGTTTTATTTTTTGTAAACAGTTGGTTTATTCATCAGATTCAAGCTATTGCATATCAAATGATGTATGCCTCATGCATAGAAAACAAGTCAAATTATAATTCTTGTAATCCTTTTTACATTTTAATAATTAGGTCGTATTGTCCTCATGGTTAGTGACGATTATATCATATTGTAATTTATTTTTTATTGTTGAACAAATAAATCCCGCTTAAAAATTTGCTCTTTTATTTAACCTTTACTCTCATATACTTTCGATGAAAAGTTAATTGTTATTAAAAATAATTTAATTGTCTTCTGAGCAAAACCTGCAAGTAAAAATTCTAGTTGTACCAACACAGAAACTTGGAATTAATAGTTTTGTGTTATTGTTCGTTATCTCAAATGGATTTGCACAATAATTCAATAAAATTTAATAGCTTATTGTATTTTTTTTTTAATTCTATTAATGCTGTTCTTGGAGTGTTAAAGTCGTTCTGCTGTGCCGTGATTGTGATAAATCTGTCTCAAAATGGTTATGAAGTTCGATTCCACTGGTGTTACGTAAAATTTCTGGACATCTAACGTAAGCATGTCAAATTTTGTATTATTGTGATATGAAATACACTGGTCAATGATTGACTTATCAAGCGCTAATTTCGATCGTCTTGTCAAAGAAAAAATGACAATACGGCAATAAAACGAGAGCGGAATTTAAGGTCTTTACACTCCACATTTCTATGCCCAAAAAACCTGCCGCATATTATACACTTTACTCCATCGCAACCTAGACACCGTGTGTTCCGCTTTTGCCATGCGAATTTGTGCCCTTTTGATGATTGAATAAGTATTAAAATTACTTAAATTAATTACGCTACACCGAAAATTTCAACCAACAAAAGATTTAATTGATGTTAAATTCGAGTCCACGTGGGTATTAATTTTACCGCAAATGTTCAAGATTGTTTCTATAAAAACGGAGCAACGTCTAGATCAGTTTAAATGTCATAAATGAACAATAGGGCTTGATTATAAGGCAAATTCTTGAGACGCATGCGTCGTAAACCACGCCTTATTTTCGTACAAAAATTGACCTTGACAAGACTGACAGCTGTACAAATTCAACAATTAGGTTATGTGTGGGTGCACTATTGTGAATATTGTAAATTACTTGTTGATGACGGTAGTAATGAGTGCTCTAAGATAGAACGGTGCAACAAAACATTGTGTTTTTGCAAACTACCGGGGTGGGATTTTGTTTCTATCGATACGATACGAAGCGATAAATGACAAGGACGAAAATATAAATTTCATATGCGAAAGAAAAAGACGACCATATTTTATCGGTACCGATATTTAATCGTTATAAAAACAAAATCCCACCCCCGGAGTGATAGCAAAGCACAAAATTAACCAAAACATCCAGTTTCATCTTAAAGTGTGAAGTGTGCAAAATTTGCGATATTAGATTTTATTAAAAGTTGTAAACGAAGCGATAGAAAAAAATTTTGTTTTATCAACCACATTACTAAGTATATACACATACATATTTGAACGGCACTTTGTAGAGAAATTTCCAGACTACCCATGCAAAAGCTCAAACGCAAGTTAAACGTAAACACGACCGGCGAATGGGGAAATTGCTGCATTTTTCAGGGTCAAAATTTGTACGAAATCCGCGCACGCGCAGTAGCTTATAATCAAGCCCTATTTTGAGCTAGAAATTCAGAAATGTGCTATATTATAATTCTACTTAGGTAAACACATCCAGAAAATTTAGTTATAACTTGATAAACAAGAGTGAAGCCTGAGTAACTGAATTTCCCAACACGTGGTTTATATGAACAACTTTATGACTGTTAAGTTGTGTCAGTAAAAAATCTTAACACGAACCGTGAATTTACAAAAAATAAACAAAAATTTATACTACAGTTTCGGCCACAAAATCTTGGGCAGTTCCGTCATTCCAGTGACATAAGCTTTAAAACAGGCTTTACATACTTATAACCTCAAATTTGCCATGTTTATCATTTTGACGTAGACTAGAATGGACGATGACTTATGTCAAAATTTATTTTTTAAAAGTGTAATCATGAGAATAAAGATTTTCTGGCCGAAACTGTGCGTGTTGACAAGGGCGAAACTTCACAACGTTTCATAGAAAACAATTTTACGTAACTACAAACTAAATGTAATATAAACGTTACGTACCCTTAATGTTCACCACGAGGTTACACTCACACTAGACAGGCAACCAGGGACGCACCAAAGCCAAAAAACTTAGAATAAACACACTTGTTCTGTTCCAGAACAAAAACGACCAAAACAAATCCCCTCTTCCACTTACGATGATCCCACCAATACCAACTTAAAGATCGACATTCACTAATTCCCTAACTGAAGTTGCACATGGTTGCCTATGCTTAACGATTTTTTAAATTTATTTGGAAAGCAAAATTTAATTCAGTGAACTTAATCAAAATAATCTGCAAAAGCCGTCGAGTTTCAGAAATTCATAATTCCAAATATTAGAACCCCATGACTGAGCAGTAAACTGGACGCCACTGTTTAGTTTTAATTGTGAACTATGCAACCAACAATACACACCGTTGACGTTTGACCTGCGCTCTCTTGCATTTTTCAAATTTAACAGCTGATTTTAATCTGAATGTTATTTACTTTCTTAACGTTCGTACTTGAACACTTATCTTAATTCTTGCAAGCAATTGTTTTAAAATAGTTGCTCAGATCACTCCAACTTATCCCAAACTGCGTAAAATGGTTGTAAAATTCGACTTAATTGCGGCGGCATGTGAAAACATGGGAATCGGCAAGAACAAAGATTTACCGTGGCGGTTAAAGTAAGTATATAATTATTATTAACAAATTTGTAACTTCTTATCAAGTTTTTTGTTGAATGAACGAAAATGGCATGGGCGACTCGTGAGTTGGTTACATGCAGGCGGTTCCAAATCAATATGACAAATTTATCTTGTAATGCAGACTTTTATAATTCAACCAACATGAAATGCAATTTTTTAAGGTCTGAAATGGCGTTTTTTTCTCGTATGACGAGCGAAACAGTCGATAAAAACAAAAAAAACGTTGTGCTAATGGGGCGAAAAACCTGGGACTGTATTCCTCCAAAGTTTAAACCACTGTCTAACAGGATTAATTTCATTATGTCTCGATCCAGTGTGGATTTGCAGAATTATAAAGACTGTTACAGTTTTACTAGTTTACAAGAAGTTTTAGATACACTTGAGGGTGAAAAATTCCAGGACCAATATGAAAATGTGTGGGTGATTGGGGGAAGTTACATTTATGAGGTTATTTTTATTTGCTTTTGTTTCTTGTTTGTTCTAAGTGTGCGGTTGTAGGAAACAATGAAATCTAAATTTTTCCACCGTTTGTATTTAACCAAGATTATGAAACACTTTGACTGTGACACTTTTTTCCCAAAGATGAAGGATAATTTGGTCAAAATAAGGTGCTTTATTGAGGACATATTTTTAATTTGGTGTTTTAATTTGAGGGATTTGCAGCGACTCACGAGTACCAGAAGGAATTCAAGAAGAGAACGGGATTCAGTTTGTTTACAACGTATACGAAAATCCGGACTTCAACAAGGAATAATCGTTAAAAATATCAGTTTCGTGTTATTGGAATAAAAACACTCTTAAAAAGTACTCTTTTATTTCAACCAACATCAGTTTTAAAAATTAAAGCTAAACGAAGTCAATAATAAAATAAATCAAATTAGATTTGTCCATTTTTAAATATATGTACATTTTTACAAACTTAATAAAACTCTTAAAAATTTATATACATGATATTTAGCGACCTACAGGTCTATAAAGTTAACGGTAATATAACAGTTCAGGTTACTTTTGTCCATTACATGGAATCATCTAATACAGCATAACAGTCATGCAAATACATGCTTTTCAAGCATACAAATTTGGCAACAACTATCTTTCACAGTCTAATTGCAACAAATCACTTACACTTAATGCATTACTTTCAGCTAGTTTCAACCGTAAAAATCAACTAATAAATTACTCCTCTAGCTAGATAGCCCCTGTCATGGATTCCTGCGGAAGCTGATGTTTCTTGTATTGTCCGGTGCAGATCGTCCTCTGAGTCACATTGGCTGCCTGATTCGACCAATCACCCGTCTGAACCACCGTCCTGTAGAACTTGGACGTGGTTTTGTTGAAAATAGGAAGCAACTCGTTTGCTTCGTTTGACAAAGCCTGTGGAACAAAATTTAGTACCTATATTAATCATAGGCTAATATGTGTACCTTTAAATAAATCATCGCATCTGTGCCGTATCCCTCACAGGACAATAAGACTAGATCTCCGTGGAAATATCGCGCGTATAACCTCGAAATGGGTAGACCGTACCCATATCCAGCCAAGGGTACCGTGTGAGCGTCTGATTTACTGGGTTGTGGTGCAGTGGAATACATGTATTTAAACAAATGGTCCATCGTGGATCGTGGAATGCCGCCTCCTCTGTCTGACATTTTCAACGAAATGTCTTCCTTCCCCCTCGCTATGGTGACTGTGACGGGTGGGTACTTGTCTTCCGAGCTGTGGTACTCCATAACAGCCCTCATGGCATTTTTGAAAAGTTCAAACAACATGTGGTATAAATGTGATGGTACGTAAACGATTTTGATGTGTCCTTCTTCTTGTAATTCTGGAAAATTACCGTCATCGATTTGGTTCTATAATAAGAATTTGGGTTTATTCTTACCGTTGTGTTGAGCCTCATTAATAATTAAGTCAGGCGATGCTAAGTAATATTGATCACATAGGAACCGTGCATTTTCGTAAGCGTCTTTAATAACGCTGACTATATCACATTGGGGATCAATACATCCTATGTATTTGCTCTGGTTGGGTCCCGGTGCGTTCTCTAATTGTCCCCCAAACAAGAGCGCTGCAATTAAGGATATTACAGGCTGTTCAAACCAAGGGGTTGACCACGTTATTTATTGGAAGTGTTGCGAAAAGGGAACAAGGCAGGGATATTGATGTAGTGTTAAGGGGTGATTAGTCCTTTGTTGGGGTGCAAGTACCCAATACAATACATCTTAAGCATAGGTACATGGTTCAAACAAAATAAAAAAACAGAGTCAGTCATAAATATATGCACTGAATTTCAAATTACCTTATTTAATTGAGTCTGTACTATTTGTTTGTTCTAGTTAATTTCAAGACTTATTCACCGCAAATAATCTCACATTCATACCAAGTAAATTTCCATTTGTTTCCTGTTTACTACACCTTATTAGAATTGAAATTAAAACGGTCAAATTTTTATGGAGCCTAGCTCTAGCTTCAAATCTACGTCCTGGAAATTTTGTTGTGCGGGTAATAAACTAAATTACGAAACTAAAATCTTGCAGTAAATATATGAGATGACATCATCAATTTGTTGGTGAGGATGAACAAATTTAGTTATGTTCTATATACCTTGAATTTTTTTTTTTTCTCTGAACATAGGATACTTCATGTATGTTGGGTTGCAGACTCATCCTCCAATGGATTCATTTGGACTTTTAAAAACTGAACATAAGATCACATAAGATTCGTAATAATTGAGGAGTAGGCCATGTCAAGGATGATATTTAAAAAGGTCAATAACGTAAAATTTCTGTTCTTTAAACTTGTACTTATTACAATACATTAACATGAAGACAGAATATCCTACATCTATGCAACCAACTTAACATTAATTATCCTATGTTCAGAGAGAAAAAAAACCCTCACGGTATATCTCGTCACCTGCGAACTTGTTTGATCTACAGACCAGAGCGCTCTCAGGCCAATATCGACTCTAAGCGTTACAGCTGATCTGATAAACATCCGCTATGAAGAACTAACCCGTTTCGGCCGTCTGGTCGGAATTTGGAACGAATAAGTGAACAAAATTCTTGAACATCTTAATGATTTAATACATAATGTTCCCGAATGACAAAAGTCACATTTCAAATTGTATTATCAAATGGTAAAACCAAGATTTGTCACCAACAATGGAATGACGTAATCTCCAAATTTTACAATAGTAGATGTCATTTAAATTTTATGTCCTTCGTTTACGATTTATACATACGTGTTGAGTTTTTACCTTAGACGTTAAGATTTTTGAAAAAAATCTACATTTTCCAATTTATAGTTACTGGAAGCATGTTAAATCTTATAATTTTGTCGAATGAATGTTAATTAAATCTTAAAAAGTATCATAGTCCTGAACTTGTGGTTTGTAAAGACGCTATTGAGATTTTCCGGGTTTTCGGTTTCTCGATTTTTTAAATTTAGATGTCTCAATTTTTAAATATTTCAATTTTGGGCTTTTTCAATTTTTCCATTCTTCAAATTTTGGATTTTTCTCAATTTTCCGATGTTTCAGTGATACAATTTTTCAATTTTTGTCCTCTTCAATTTTACGATTTTTTAAATATTTTGATTTTTCAATTTTTCAAATTTTCACGTTTCTACATTTTCAGTTTTCCGATTTCTGAACTGTTTTTTTTATTTTTCCATTTCTCCAATTCCCAAGTAAGTTTCGATTTTTCACTTCTTCAATTCTTCAATTTTTCGATTTTTAAGGTTTTTGATTTTTTGATTTTTCGACTTTGCTTTTCTAATTTTTCGATTTCTCAATTTTCCAAATTTTTTATTTTCTTAATTTTTTGGATATTTCTTTCAGTTTTGAGATTTTGCAATATTTCGATTTTTGGACTTCTGAATTTTTGGATTTCTCGATTTTTTACTTTTTGGATTTTCAATTTTTCGTTAAATTTTAGATTTTTCAATATTTCGAGTGTTTTATACTTCGCTTTCACAATTTTTCATTTTTCGATGTTTTAATTTTTCAATTTTTAAAATTCTAGGTTTTTCGAGTTCTCGAGTTCTCAGTTCTTCCATATTTCAATTTTTCAATTTTCCAATTATTAAATTTTCGTTTTCCAAATTTTTCTTCTTTAAAATTTTTCGATTTTTCAATTTTTTGATTGTTCAGTTTCTCGATTTATCAATTTTTCAATTTTTAACTTTTCTTCTCGTCTTTCGACTCCTCGATTTCTCGATCCTCTGATTTTTAGAATTCTCGATGTTTCAGTTTTTGAATTTTTGGATATGTCGATTATTGGCTTTCTCGGTTTTTCGATTTTTACTTTTTCAATTTTTTAAATTCTGGAGTTTCGATTTTTCGATTTGTCGACTTTTTAGTTTTTGATTTTTAAATTTTAGATTTTAGAATTTTCATTTGTTGATGTTTGGATTTCTCGATTCTTCAATTTCTCGATTTTTTGAATTTTCAGTTCTTCAGTATTTCCATTTTTCAATTTTTCAAATTTTGACGTTGCTATTAATCTATTTTTGATTTTCCCATTTGTCGACTTCTCAAAGTTTCGATTTCTCAGTTCTTCAATTCTCAATTTTCAAATTTTTTAATTTCTCAATTTTTGGATAATTCTTTTAATTTTGGCATTTTCCAATATTTCGATTCTTCGACTTTTCGACTTCTGGACTTTTCGATTTTTTGTTTTTTAAATTTTAGATTTTTCAATTTTTCGACTGTATATTTCGATTTCTCAATTTTTCAACTTTTCGATATTTTATTTTTCCAATTTTTAAAATTCTAGATTTCCAATTTCTCAAGTTTTCAGTTCTTCTATATTTTAATTTTTCAGCCTTCCCAATTTTTAACTTTTCGATTTTTCAATTTTGGCCAACTTCGGTTTCTCAATTTTTCAATTTTTCTATTTCTCGATGTCTGTTACAATTTTTCGATTTTTGAATTATCCGATTTTTTAATTGTCCAATTTTTTAAATTTTAGATTTTTGGACTTCTGGGTTTTGGGATTTTTTACTTTTTGGATTTTCAATTTTTCGTTAAACTTTAGATTTTACAATTTTTCGACTGTTTTATACTTCGCTTTCACAATTTTTACTTTTCAACGTTTTAATTTTTCAATTTTTAAAATTCTAGGTTTTTCGATTTCTCGAGTTTCCAGTTCTTCCATATTTCAATTTTTCAATTTTCCGTATTATTAAATTTTTGATTTTCCAATTTTTCTTTTTTAAAATTTTTCGATTTTTCAATTTTTTGATTTCTCGATTTATCAATTTTTCAATTTTTAACTTTTCTTCTCGGCTTTCGACTCTCCGATTTCTCGATTCTTTGATTTCTCCAATTCTCGATGTCTTAGTTTTTGAATTTTTCGTTATTTCGATTTTTGGATTTCTCGGTTTTTCGATTTTTTACTTTTGGGCTTTTCAATTTTTCGATGTTTCGATTTTTCAGTTATCCGATTTCTCAATTTTTGGATAATTCTTTTAGTTTTGGTATTTTCCAATATTTCGATCCTTGGACTTTTCGATTTTTCAATTTTTTTATTTTTTTGATTGTCAGTTTTTTTTGTTTTTTAAACATTAGATTTTTCAATTTTTCGACTGTTTTATATTTCGATTTCTCAATTTTTCAACTTTTCGATACTTTATTTTTCCAATTTTTAAAATTCTAGATTTTTCAATTTCTCAAGTCTTCAGTTCTGCTATATTTTAATTTTTCAATTTTGGCCTACTTCGGTTTCTCAAATTTTCGATTTTTCGATTTCTGGACTTTTCGACGCCCCGATGTTTCGATTTTTGAATTTTCCAATTTTTTAAATTTTAGATTTTCGATTTTTAATTTTTTGATGTTTGGATTTGTCCATTTTTCACTTTCACGATATTTAAAATTTTTAAAATTTTGACGTTTCTGAATTTTCAGTTTTCCGATTTTTCAATTAATCTATTTTTTGATTCTCACATTTCTCGACTTCGCGAAGTTTCGATCTTTCAATTTTTCGGTTTTCCAGGTTTTTGATTTCCAATTTTTCGATTTTTTAAGTTTGCGATTTTTCAACTTTGCTTTTTTGACTTTTTGTGATTTTTCAGTTTTCCGTTCTTCAATTTTTCTTCTATTTTTCAATTTTTCGCTATTTGAATTTTGGGATTTTTTTTGTATTTTGACTTCTTCGATTCTTCGAGTTCTGGATTTTTCGACTTCTCGACTTTTTACTTTTTGAATTTTCGTTCAAACTGTTTTTTTCAATTTTTCGACTGTTTTATACTTCGATTTCTCAATTTTTCAACTTTTCGAAATTTTAACTTTTCAATTTTTAAAATTTTAGGTTTTTCGACTTCTCGAGTTTTCAGTTCTTCTGTATTTCAATTTTTCAATTTTCGGAACTTTTAAATTTTCGACTTTCCATTTTTTTTTCGATTTTTCAATTATTCGTTTATTCAATACATACAATTTTTTTTATTTGCATTTTTCAATGTTATAAATTTTAGATTTCCCGATTTTTCAACATTATCAGTTTTGGGAACTTTTCAATTTTTCGGTTTTTCGATCACTGAGAACTTTATTAACTGTCACGTTATTGCTGAAAGTTTTCCCAATGTTAAATATGTAAAAATTAACTGCACTTTCCCGAAAAAAATCTATTGCATGATTACGGTTCCACTAGTATTGCTAATTTAGGACGTTCTCTTAGTATCAAACAAAATTAAACAAACATCTAAATAATAACTATTTCCCGCAGAAATTCTGAACGCTTAGAGTCGACATTGGCCTGAGCGCGCTCCGGTCTATAGATCAAACAAGTTCTCAGACAACGATCTACCAAATTAACAATTCTGCCCTGCCAAAAGTTCGTTAAACAGTTTATTATATAAATTTCACGATTTCATTGCTTCAACTTATTTTTTTTGGACAACTCTTATAAGCAAAGCTAAAAGTAGGGAGCGACTATTAAACTGCTTGTGCATTTACTTAACAACATTTGGACGTGACATCACCGATTTTTAAGAAAGTGGATAAACAAATTTTGGTTGATTATTATTTACACCTCCACGATAATCTCAAGGTATATTTTAATATTTGACTGGTCGGTAACGAATTTTTGGCGTTTATTTCTCGCACGAGACGTTTGTAAGTAGCTCATTGAAAATATATTCTTTTAAACATTTCCAAAAACGACAAAACGATGAAAACGGGAAACCTGCATTTGTGTACTCTATGAGCTATGAAGCGGCAAAAAATTTGAAAGACAGACTGTGTTGTAAAGTAAAAACTGCGAAATGTGTAAGTTAAAAATTAGAAATTTTGTATACAAATTTGTGGCAAAATTTAAGGAAAATTTTGGTAAATTCTTAGAAGCTTGGGGAATTTGATGAGACATAATTAAATTAATGTCAAAATAATTTGAATGATTTCAGAATATTAATGTGTAGTGGGTTAACTTACTCAAGCAATGGACTTTACAAATAATGTTACTAAAATTTAATTAAAATAAGGCAAGTAACATTTAATCGACTTAATTCGACTACCCCTAGGACATTTCGGTTATGTTTTAAAATATATATATAGTTAAGTGAACAATTTATGAAAAATTTTTTTTAATGAAAACTCGACAATACACAAAACATCTTTTTCTGTAAACTAAATTCAAAACTAATTCTTAAATTTAAATTGTAGTTGAATTGGCAGATTTGTCATTTGATACATGGATGCCAACATAATGCTAGTTAATTTTGATGACAAAAATAAAAAAACGCCCAATGAAACTAGGCGTGTAAAAGACTAAATAAAACGTCACCAACTGCATCGAAAAGAAGTCGTGGAACGCTTATTTTTATAAAACAAAGAAAAAAGGAAAATCTCATTCAAATTCGCACTATTCGCATTCTACTTAATGGATTTTGTAGCTGCCAAAATCACCCAAGCGAATCTGTTCCTTGTTATTTTTTCTCTCGGAACTCAGAGTTTGTAAATAGAATAAAAATTTACTTCCAGATAGTTGAAATAACTGAAATTCGCTTGTTATTGCTCTTAAAATAACCTATTTTGCAGCACATGAAAACCATATGCTCCTTAAATAACACGATTGAACTCTGCTACACATGTTTCGATACACAATATTTTCATCATCATTGTAGAACAATATGGCGGTTTTCTAAAAATGTTTTATTATCCGTTGAAGTAGTAAATCTATTACTGTCTTACATAGTGCATATAATTTACCCGCTCAAGTTCGCCGAAAGCAATGAACAGTTAATGTAACGCGACTATAAATCTGAGTGAGTTAAGCAGATTTATGAGAGATTGCTACTAGAAAAAGTCTCTTTATTTAGTCGTTTGTTGCCTTACTCACACAGATCCACCTTGCAATAAAATTTGAAAAAAATGTTAGCACATATTTGAACTTGTCACGTCGTTGTTCTTCGTTTTTACTGTCCTCTAAAATTTGTTGATGTTTAACTTGTTCGACGACGTTATCACTTGCAAGAAAAATCTTAAAATGATTCTTAGAACAGAGCGCGTGATATAATATTTGAAAATGTTCCAGTGATGTTCCGCTAATAAAATTAATTTAATGTAGTTCTTATCATAAATCTCTTTTTCTAGCATTTGTTACATAGCAACCCAATTACATCCAGTTTAGTTTATTGTTTCCACTTAAAAAATACCCGTGAGGTCACAACTTAGGTTTAGCCCGCCATAAAATGATTAACCACATGGAAGTCGCAGCTTAGTAAACATAGGAAGTAAAGTAGTAACAGAAGTTGGCATCAAAATTAATGTCCGAAGATACACAGCAACATAAAATGCGTTTTTTTTTTACCACGGGTGCCAACATTTTTCTTTTCGTGCTTTAGTGCATATCACTTGAGAAGTAAAGTAGATAGATGGAGATATTTACCGTTGTCAATTTGGAAGTGACGAATTATGTGGTAAGTGATCACGAAATCTTTTTCCGTCGGTGAATTAGTAACGTAAATAAAGTTTAAAATGGATCTTTAATGAGATTTAGAGTTAGTTCCATTAGACTTGCGCCAACTTGGCAGAATTTTGTTTTCACGTTCATTAAAAAATAATTCAAAAACCAGTAACCATTTAATTAAGAGTCAAAATAATAAAACCACAATAGTTCTGGACACACTATACAAAATTACCGGACTAGTAAGGATATCATTTAAATGAAGTGGTCAACCTCTTAATCCCACCCGACTCACCACTTACTGTGTTGATTAATCAACATCCTGATCGATATCCTCGACATGTAAAACCTATCAAGAAAATACTGAATACTGTGTTCCGTCTGATGATCAACGTCGTGCGAGTCCTTCAATTCTAAAACCCCTTGTGCCATAGTTTCGACCACATCCGCGTGCCGATTACGAATTTTCACTAAGCTATCACAGAAGTACTGTAGATTGTTATTGTTGATTTCCTTTTTCTCGAATTCAATTATCTCCTGGAAACTCCGAATATACCAGTCATTCACCGCTATCACCGACGGCATCCGGAGCAGATTTTCGGGTAGAAGGGCAATCTCCTTCATTATGTTGGCAAGTCGAACTGGCAATTCCTTACGCAGGAAGATGAACGACTTCTGCTCCGACGCATTTAACCCTGCAAAAAAAGATTCATTGCGTGATAAGTACGGACATCATGGGCTTATTTCGTGCCGCTAATAATCAAGCGCTTTTATCAAACGGTACACTGCGACCTTCTAGTTTCTTGTAAATTGTTACATCATTAAATTGATTATTTTCGCCACGATTATTTATTTACGTTTTTATTTTTAATTTATCGGTGGGATATGGGGCACGTAATTTTCACGTGTAATTATTTTCTTTCAGGTTTGGACACCTGCTGAAACGAAATTGGCAGAGTGCCGCGATTTTCGGCGTGTTAAAGTATAGAGCAAGGAGAAGCAGGGACCTCTCAATGGTGGACTTTCGACTTTTCGTTAAAAGCTATGAATGTTTCAAAGTTCCGTGACTTGCGAAGCCGGCCTTGGGGACATTTGAAATAACCTCCCTGTAGGTTTGTTGTTTGGCTACAAAGTGTGTAGGTCGTTGGCCTAACATTGAAACAGTTTAATTAGAAAAGTAAAGAAAAAGGTACTTTTTTCATTGCAAAATATATTATTCGTCTTATCTTGTTTTGATCGGCTTTCTACTTAAAATTTTTATCTAGATTCGCTATGGTTATAGTTTTATAAAGTTTCATTCTTATCTTTATGGATTATTTGAATAATATAACACATGTTTTGAAAACTCTCTTATTAATCACTTATTGTGCCACGAAAAAAGGCTCACTCCAACTATAATTCGTTATACAAAATATTTCCTCAGGCACTGTTGAAAGCAGAGTTCAATTCGAATTAACTTGATAATTTGGTTATCTAAGCTGTTGTAAATTTAGTACTCTTATTACTTACTGTACCGAGAAAACAATAAACATGAGTAACTTGTTAAAGACCGGAATAATCCCGTTTAAAATACAACGTTGTTTTTATTTAATCGCAATTCCTCTAGAGTTACGTAGTTTTGAAGTAAGTTGATCGATCAGTTGCGATTAAATTTAAAAAGTTTTCTCTTCCATTGTACAACGTCCTCTAATGCAATTTTTTCAAGTAAAGAGAAATAAATTTAGTGAAATTAATTGTAGAAAGAAAAATTCGAAAACTGCCCAGTATGTGGAGTAAGTTTGTTTATTAAAATTGACAGATACACATACGATGTTTGATTTTTGATAACAATTTATTACCAGGAATTATCGGTTACAATCGCTTATTTTTCTTGATGTAGACATAATTTCATAAAATGCGACTGAAAAAAAAATGGTATGTTACTCTCGCCAAAAATCGAACACATGATTCAATTCGGCCACTCGCCAGTTCCTCATTTTATGCATCACTGTCTGTGTATGTAGCACAAATAACAATTAAAACCGATCACAAATTGCAGTCGCATTCTTTATATAAACCCACTTCCAAAATTGTTTTATTGTGAGAGTCGGAACCAACTAACAATGGATCACAAAAAATATTACTCACCGAAGAAGGCTATTATTATTATAATCACCATTTCTGTTTCATGTCTCTTTTTGTAAATTATCTATTATTCATCTGGGTGCTAAGTTTTTGTTTTCGTTTCAGCCAGGCCATTGTTCTGCGACGAACTATCGCATGCTCGCATGTCAGATTCGGTGTACAATTCAAACACTCGAAACATTTTTTGCAGTTATCACAAATATAGATCTAAATTTTTTTCAGCAAATTTGGCGTGCTTGCCAGAAGTTACAAACAGTCATCAAGTACGATACGGCACTTTATTTATCTACATAACTATTAAATAAAGACAATGAGCTGAGAACTAAACACAAAATTTACGTATTTGTTACAATAACACGATGTTGATGAACTGCTTCAAAAATATGAGTGCACTTTCCGATCAACATTATTTTAGCAAGGACACCTATGTTAATTCCGACATGTGTAATGTAATAGTGTACTAATAATGAAACAGTGGGGCGTACTGTTCTTCAGATGTGATCAATAAAAATTATAGCGAGTAGGAGTACCAGTGTAAATAAAAAAACTCCATCCCACATTCGAACGTGGGTGGTTTTCGCGTTACAATTTCGAATCTTGTAGGAACTCGCTTATACTAGCCTAAACGGTTGCTGTACAATTTCGATTTTCGCAAAAATTTCAAAGCGGATTCTTAGGAGTATGTTTTTATAAAACTTAAATCTTATTTACTATGAAAAATTTTGAGGCTATGTTATCAGTGTTATCACATTGTTGGCATTTACACGATATTCCTAACAATTGTATAAAATTTGACAATAATCGGGCCGATAGTTTTGGAGAGCATCTGTCTAATAAAAGTATGGACAGGCGGAAACAGATCTATTTTTTCGTACTATAGGGGTCATAAAATCAAGTTATTAGTACGCACCTAAAGTGGAATTTATAAACTTGCTGTTGACGTTAAAGTTCCCGCTGACGTTGCTTTTAGAGCTAAAAATTGTCATTTATAAACTCCCTTGCCAAGTTACCGTTCATGTTCAACTTTTGCCGTATTTAAAAAGGTGTAGAAAAAAAGTGGAGGATTTAAGTTGATTACTACAAAAATTTGTTTATCGTGACTCAAGGGGCCGGAGCGTAACTGCAAAAAAGGAAATATGGATTTTGCAATTAGGCCCCGCCCATCGGTGTGACAACGAATGAAAAATTCATCACAATTGAGCTTGGGATGGATATGGGCGGACCCTAATTGCAAAATCGGTATTTCCTTATACACATTTTTCATTTTAAACATGTTTTAAGTTTCTTGTTGTGAAAAGAAATCTACACATATTTAAACAAAAAGGCAAAATGTAGCCCCACCCACCCGCCCCATCTCAATTGTGATGATTTTTTTTTATTCGTCGTGAGCCACTGCAAAATCCTTATTTCTCTACGAGAAATTAAAAACATTTTTGAGTACCGTGTTATTAAAAAATACTATGTATATTGAGAAAAAAAATAAAGCCTAAGATCAGGCCCCACTCATACCTGCCCTGATCTCAGTTCTCAATTGTGATGAATTTATCATTCGTTGTCCGATCGATTTTAAACGTGTTTTTAAGAATACAAAAATTATCATATTTGAGATGGGGTGGGTGGGCGGGGTTTATTTTTGGCCTTTTTTTCTTAATATACATAGTAGATATTCTTTGAACAACACGATACTCAAAAACATGTTTTTAATTCCTCATAAAGAAATAAGTATTTTGCAGTTAAGCTCCTAATTAAGTTCACGGTGAATAAAAAGAAAATCATCACAATTGAGATCGGGTGGGTGGGCGGGCTTACATTTTGCTTTTTTGTTTTAATATGTGTAGACTTCTTTTCACAACATGAAACTTAAAACATGTTTAAAATGGAAAATTTGTATAAGAAAATATCGATTTTGCAATTAGGCTCTACCCCATAATTCTAAAATTGATATTTCCTTGCAAAAATGTACCATTTTAACCATGTTTTAAGTTTCTTGTTGTGAAAAGATGGCTATGTATATTAAGAGAAACAAAGGCAATATATAAGCCCCGCCCATCGTCGTAAGCCGAGGGGCGAAGCTTAATTGTAAAATCCTTATTTTTCTACGAGAAATTACGATGTGAAATATGTTTTTAAGGACTCGTGTTATACAAAGAAAACTAATTGAATTAAATAAAAAAAATAAAAAATAAAAGGGAAGCCCCACCCATCCGAATCTATCTCAATCGTGATGTATTTTTCATTCGTTGTCAGCCTGAGGGGCGGAGCGGAATTGCGAAATCGATATTTCCCTATACAAATTTAGCATTTGAAACATGTTTTAAGTTTCTTGTTGTGAAAAAGATCACTACACATCTTAAGAGAAAAAGGCAAAATGTAGGCCTCCCACCCATACCCCCCCCCCCAACCCAATTCTCAATTTTGCTGAATTTTTCATTCCTTGTCAGATCCGTTTTAAACGTGTTTTCAGTGTCCAAGAATAAAAAAAATCATCACATTTGAGATGGGGTGGGTGGGCGGGCTTCCATTTTGCCTTTTTGTTTTAATATATGTAGACTTCTTTTCACAACATGAAACTTAAAACATGTTTAAAATGGAAAATTTGTATAAGAGAATATCGATTTTGCAATTAGGCTCTGTCACATAAATCTATATTTCCTTGCAAAAATGTACCATTTTAACCATGTTTTAAGTTTCTTGTTGTGAAAAGATGGCCATGTATATTAAGCGAAACAAAGGCAAAATATAAGCCCCGCCCACCCGCCCTATCTCAATTCTGATGATTTTTTTTTATTCGTCGTAAACCGAGGGGCGAAGCTTAATTGTAAAATCCTTATTTTTCTAGGAAAAATTACTATGTGAACTATGTTCTTAAGTAATCGTGTTAAACAAAGAAAACTAATGTATTAATATTAATTAAAAAAGAAAACCAAAAGGGAAGCCCCACCCATCCGAATCTATTTCAATCGTGATGTATTTTTCATTCGTTGTCAAACCGAAGGGCGGAGCGTAATTTCAACATCGATATTTCTCTATACGGATTTACCATTTTAAACATGTTTTAAGTTTCTTATTGTGAATAGATGACTACACACACATATTAAGAAAAAAAGGCAAAATGTAAGCCTCGTCCACCTATCCTATCTGAATTGTAATGATTTATTTATTCGCCCTGAACCAAGGCGATTAATTGCAAAATACTTATGTTTACAAGAAATTAAAAACATGTTTTTGAGTATCGTGTTGTTCAAAGAATAATATGAATATTAAGAAAAAAAGGCAAAATATAATCACCGCCCACCCACCCCATCTCAGTTGTGATGATTTTTTGTTCTTGGAAACTTAAAACGCGTTTAAAATGGTAAATTTTTGTAAGGAAATATGGATTTTGCAATTAGGTCTACCAACGAATGCAAACTTCATTACTATTTAGATCAGGGCAGGTATGGGTGGAGCTTAATCTTCGGGTTTAATTTTTTCTTAATATACATGGTATTCTTTGAATAATATGATATTCAAAAACATGTCTCACATGGTAATTTCTTGTAAAGAAATAATAACGATTTTCGACGATTAA